CATGATCTTGGAGTAAACAAGTATTTCTTAAACAAGACATATAAAGTGCTTGAAGAAAAAGATGGAAAAACTGGACTGTGTTAAAATTAAGGGCTTCTGTTCACCAAAAGACATCCATTAAGAGAATGAAGGCAAGGCATGGTGGCTCACACCTGTAATCCCAGCACTTTGGGAGGCTGGGATAGGAGAATCACTGGAGGCCAGGAGTTCGCTGGACAATATAGTGAGATACCTCGCCCAACATCTACAAAAAGTAAAAGTTAGCCAGGCATAGTGGCGTATGCTTGTAGTCCTGTCTACTCAGGAGGCTGAGGCAAGAGGATTGCTTGAGGTCAGGAGTTTGAGGCTGCAGTGAGCTATCATCACACCACTGTACTCCAGCCTGAGCAAGAGTGAGACTTTGTCTCTAAAAATAAACTGAAAAAGCAGGGCACAGAATGGGAGAAGTTGGTAGCAATAACAACTCCGAAACCATACTCTTTCCCTAAATACATAAAGACTACTTGTAAGTCAATATAAAAATGACAACCCAACAGAAAACCAGGCAAAAGTGGACATTTAACAAAACAGAATACCCCAAAATTCAATGTATTAAAAAGTGCTCAACCTCATTAGTCATCAGGGAAAGCAAACTAAATCCAGAATAAATCCACTACACATCCACCAGAATGGCTGTAACTGAAGAGAGAGAGACCATACTGAATACCAAGATGTGGAGCTAGTGGAACTCTCATATACTGCTGGTAAAACTATAAAACAGTACAACCAGTTTGGAAAACTGTTTTGCAGTATCTACTAAAGTTGAACATACGTATCTCCAATGACCCTGTAATTGCATTCTTAGTTATATATGCAACATAAATGTAAACACCAAAATACATGTCTAAGAATGTTCGTAACAACATTTGCAACATCCAGAACTTGAAAACCACCCAATGTCCATCCACAGAATAGTGGTGTAGTAATGCAACAGAATACTACATAGCCAAACACATTGTTATTGCAGACAATGACATGGATTAATCTCACATACATACTATTGAAAGAAAAGACTAGAAAGTATTATATGACTCCATTTAGGTCAACTTCAAAAACATGCAAAACTAATTAGTGATTGTAAAACACTGGTTTCCATCTTGGGGGTGAGAGTGTAACCACTGAGAAGGGACATAAAGTCTAGGATACTTGGCCTGTCCTAGTTCTTGATACAAGTGGTTATATGTTTTTACATATGTTATACTTGACTAAAAATTTACCTAAAACAATACCTACAAATAAAAAGAAAAAAAATACCCACAGTATATAAGAACATTTCTGTATATTCCCACCACAACAGGGTATTAGATGAATCTAATCTTTGCAAATTGTATTGGTAGTAGGGCTAACCTGGGCAACAAACTGAGACTCTGTCTCAAAAAAAAAAAAAAAAAAATAGTAGTGGACAGTGGCATCTCTTGCTTTGGCTTACACCTCCTTAATGACAAACAAGAGTAAGTCAAGTCTTCTTAAAAGTTGTTTGTTCATAGACTTCTCTTGAAAACAAATTCTAAGAGAGTTTAGTATTTATTGTGGCCTGTTATCATGGCTACAAATGTGCCACGGAAAAGCAGCCTAAGGCACTGAAATAAACCCTATCCCAACCCTACAGAAAAGAAAAAAACCTGTGTGAAGAACTAGGAAGCAAGAAACATGGGACATAAGCATGAGCGCCAACGCTGTGCCAGCAGTTGCGGCATGCCTGGAAAATGGTGTGGTAGCTTTAGACAGGGAAGGAAGCTCCCAGACATGAGTCATACTGCCTGGGTTGTGCAATTACACATTAATTTCAACTGTGTGAAACAAATGGCAAAAAGCAAGGGGTTTTTAAAGAAAAAAAATGATAACGATCAGTCGTCCCAATATACATAGCAGGCCTTCACGTACAGCCCAGCACAATGAGCTGATGGTACAAGAGTGCCTACCCAGGGTCTTCTCCAAAGCAGTAACTGAGGAAGCATGGAGCCCGTTTCTTAAAAGGCAAGAAGTAATGCACTTTACAAATATTTCCACCAAACGTGGCTACAAATGAGTATGAGCTTAATGTATTAAGACTTTGGTTCTCTAGAAAACTGTCACAGCACTGAGGCAACTGACAATCCATAATCATTGGTTATCTATGCGAACTGTGGCTGTACTTGTCCAAACTAAATTATTTTAAATTGGAAATAACTGCTCCAACTGTAAAAACATTTAATTTCCCAAATTATGCTAGATTTTTAAAAATCGCCAAAAACCTAAGATGTTGTTAAACTTTATCTTAGACAGTAGGCATTTGAACCCTATATAATTTTTATTTCCTCAATTCTAATACACTGGAAAATTAACATGCATATTACATATTAGTTTTTCCAAGAGGACATGTTGTCACTTATAAAACATACTGACCTCAGAAATGTTAAAATATTTTTAATGATCACTTCAGAAGTTAAAATACAGTATCTTAATAAAATACTGAGTTTTGATAAAGAACAAAAGGTAGAATGGCTTAAGGGTTAAGAACATGGGCTCTTTAGCAACACAAATATCACTCTGAATCCTGTTTGAATACCACTAGCTGTGTGGTTTAGGGCAAGTTCTTTCTCTCTCCCTACTCAGCTTTTCCTATTTGCAAAATGCAGGCAACAACTCACCTAATTATACCTAATTATCACTGAGCATCTATGTACTAGATTCCAGACACTGCTTAATAATGAGCACAGTGCCTCGTACATATCTCATACTCAACGTTAGCTAAATATTAGTTTTATCAATTAGAAGCCTAGGAATTCAAAGAAATGGGAGAAAAAACAAGATAGGGTTTGATTTTCCTAATCCAGGTTGGATCTGGTTATCACATCCTATGAAGTCTTCACAAAGGATTCCTTTAATGACACATTCTAGAATTCTACAAGTTCCCTGTGAACTATCCACATCACAAATTTCAAAAACAGGGTTTACACCCAATTTTTCAGCATGCTCACTCTCCTCCCTACAACAGCTAATTGGGGACTTGTTTCTAACAGCCAAGTGGCATCTGCTTGAACAGAAGCCAAATTAGATGTTTACATTTATTCCACCAATATCCCCTTGCAATGATCTAACTTAAAACTCATTCTCATCTTCCCGTAGAACCAAAATACAACTTTGGACATTTGCTTTTCTGGCCACCACCTATCCCAGAACACACCATGAGTACAAACCCATTTACTGCTGTTGTATTTTGGAAAATCTCTTGGTTTAAAACTTTGTTTTCAAGGCAAAGTATTGTAAGACCTGTAATTAAAACACCTATGAACTATGTTCAGATTGTGATAGTAACTCAAAGTTTCTCTTTAAATCAATTGATCTTGAAAGATGACTAAACTGAGCTGAAACTGTGGGGAAAACTCCCCCTTTCCAGCCCACAAATCTAAGCAACGGGGGTGACGCTGTCCTCACAGAGCTAAGCCACCTTCCCGTAGTTTTCTTGGTTGCCCAGTTTCCAATCTTTGATTTTTCTAAAAACCTGAACCAATTCCCCTCCCCCTTCATAACTGTCTTGTTTTGCCTGGGTGGCAAGTTCTTTTTCTCCTTACCAAATTGCCACACCTCTTGAAAATGCACAGCATCTTCAATTTGCTGATTACACACAATGAAGTCGACACAGCCAACTAAAGGAACCCTTTCGCAAAGCAAAACTATGTGATGAATGAACTTGACAAGATAGTAAAGTTTGGTACTGCCTCATAATAAAAATAGAATCACTTCCATAAGCCAGAATATTTTGAAAAGATATTAACTGTTTTTATTTGAACATTCACTCATTAATGTTCAGTGTGGTGGCAGCAAGCAAAACCCTGCATCCCGTGAGTGGTTTCTTTAAAAACCTATGATAGTTTTTTTTATATTTCTTCAATTTTGACCTTAGATGCAGCAGGTATCTGGCCACTTTATGCTGGAATCAGAACAAATCAACCTGAAAACCTCTTGGAAGTTGCTCCAAATGGATAGTAGAGTGATTTATATACAAGTGTCTCCAACCGGATGATGGATAAGCAAAATACCATTATTTATACTAACTGCTAGTGTGCACTTAGACTAATAACTACTAGGATGCCATTAATCTGTTAATTTCCTAAATCTCTGGTACTAAGAGGGTTAAGCTCTCTTAGGGTATACTAGTAGTAGCAATACCTCATTTTAGAAGAGTCAAGTGTGGTAAGGACACATTTACCAATTGAAAAAAATGTATGTTTTTTGACACAGGAAACTTAGAAATGTATCTTACAGATATGCATACAAATATTTAAGCACAAACTGCTTCTAGAGTATTTACTGCAGCACCTTTTATAATAGCAAAGCTGAACAACACCCAAAAGTAGCACACTAGTTTTACCAGAGTCAAGTGTACACCAATGTTAGGCACTCAGTATGAGATAGATCTAAATGTTTGACATGAAAATATCAGTAAGACATCAACTGAATATCTATATACACTGATGTATTAACTATCTCTAAAAGAAACTGTGTTTCTGAGAAAGGGGACTGTTACACTATTGTTTCACAGTGTGCACATATATTACTGAGAATGGATTTAATTCTTCTCTGCTCCTGTCACATAGTTTTACCTCAGATTAAGATGAATTATTCTGATACATGCAGCCTTATTTGATTGTACGACCCAAAATTCCATGCTAGAAAATGATCCATAATTACACTTTGTATTAAATACGCATATTGTACTTTAATGATTAAAATAAATACCGTGTTGCTATCTGGTTTGGAAGACAGGACAGGTAATCAATTTACTGAGATTAGTGTTCTTCACAACCAGGTTACAGGCAATTTTTTTTCCAAAATATACATCATCTCTGGGAAACAGACAAATGATTTATGTAAGAAAGGGCAAGGGGTGTTTTCACATTCAGGCAAACATAATACTGTCAATGTGTTTGGACTAGAGATTTTATTTTAGAAGTATAAAGGATGGAGGCGCAATAATATTTGGCATTTTTAATTTAGGTTTGTTTTATTTAAGTTTAATGTTAATTCCATGCTGTGTTTCAGTAAGAACAATACAGATTCTGTATCTGTGGCTCCAGTCAGATATCCAGTAGTACAAATTAGCTTCAAGTTACACATACTGAACAAAAGAGGTTGAGCGAGCGAAGGAGGGAAGGAGTGGGGGGCAGGGTGGGCAGGGGGAGAGGGAAGGAGAAGAAACAAAGAATTGAACACGCATGCAGGCTTTTCCATACCACCTTCAATGCTAACCTGCTTCAGAGGGAGAGTAAAAGTAGGCAAGAATGAGCAGCCACGGATTGTTGAACTGTTACCAGCACCATGCTTTTCAGCAACATTTCAGCAAAGTTTGAAACACTTTTTACAGCAAAACCATTACAACAAACTCCCCAAACAACCTTTAACCACCTCAAGCTAACACCCAATTAATTTTAAACATTGGTATAAAATTCGGTTTAAACAATTAGAAAAAGGAAAAATGATACCATGTATGCCTCTACAGTGTGATCAACCTCTCTCTTAGATGCTTGCATCACCTAGAAGTCTAATGGCTTTCAAATGTAATTTCCATTTCTAATAGTGATCTTGCCACATCCAGCACGGAGACAATACAGAAATGCTGAAAAAGCCTCTATGCAGTCCTGTTAGTGTCTTAAAGAACCTAATAGCTGGGACCAGTAAAATCCACAGAAATTCACTCTTGCCTTTAAGAACTTTTGAAAACTGTTAAAAAAAAAAAAAAAAAAAAAACCAACAGGGCAGGAACCTAAATTCTGAGACCAAATGTAAAAGTCAGATTTGGTGGTTCTCAGTGACAATGGGGAATTTCCATGGGGTAGGGAGGGGAGGAGTGGGGTGGTCAGAGATGGTTTCTCTTGTTGGCTTTTATGTCTCACTGATTTTCATCTTCCACATCCTGCAGCACTTCTTTATTCTGCTCTTCACCTGTAAAAAAAGAGTGACAGTTAATTATTTCATACTCACTATATATTAGGCTACAGTAGCCATAAACAAAGGTGTCACTCCAAGCATAAAAGACTCCTAATATTTGCTACAATTGGTATTAAACAAAAGACAGGCAAAAGACCATTCCTGACACCTGAGATGCCTAAGCCAAGAAAGACTGCTGGATCATGGCCCTGAAAGTACTGGTCAATAATCAGAATGAAAAAACTAATACACAGTAAAAGTCAATGTTTTTATGCTACATAAACTCTTAAAGTAGACAGCCAAAGTCACCATATTACTAAAATGATTTTCAAGCTTTCACGTACATTTTTGGTCAAAACACTCTTTCTCAATAACCTCACCTCTTCGAGAATCAAGAATATTTTGCAACTTTTTGCAAAATTTAATTTACCCACAAGCTCTTTGTCAGAAATGCTTCAATACAGTGAACTGAGCAGTAAAATGCTCCGAAGGAGTTCTCCAGTGTTTTGGTAGGGGGTGTTCTACTGTTGTAAATAAACATTTTACCTATTGTTTTCTTGACCAGATATAGCAAAGTATATCAGATTTCTTACTTGAAAGTGAAACACTATGTTCAAAGTAAACCAGACCACTGAGGTTATTAAAGAAGGGCATTTGGACCAGTTCTCTCATGCTATTTTTCTTTTTCCTTTGAACATGACGATTAGCCTGGGGAGTTTCAACTGCACTATAACATGCAACAGAAAGCCAGGCTATTTCGCTGGAGGGTCATCTACCTATTAAAAGCATTAAAAACAAGTCAGCCAAATAAAGAAGCATGCAGGCTTTTGCTAAAAAAAACCCGATATAACAGATAGTTACATTTTTTGTACTTTAAACAAACCACTACAGGCTGGGCGTGGTGGCTCACGCCTGTAATCCTAGCACTCTGGGAGGCCGAGGCAGGCAGATTGCTTGAGCTCAGGAGTTCGAAACCAGCCTGAGCAAGAGCGAGACCCTGTCTCTACTATAAATAGAAAGAAATTAATTGGCCAACAAATATATATAGAAAAAATAAGCTGGGCATAGTGGCGCATGCCTGTAGTCCCAGCTACTTGGGAGGCTGAGGCAGAAGGATCCCTTGAAGCCCAGGGATCCCTTGAAGCCCCTGATGCCACGGCACTCACTCTAGCCTGGGCAACAAAGTAAGACTGTCTCAAAAAATAGAAATTAAAAAATAAACAAACCACTACATAGTTAACTAATTTGAATCAAAATAAATTAAAATTAACCCAATTAACCCAACAATCATAATAATAAATGTTCAGGCGATGGATCCATTTAAGTTATTTTGTTAGGATGGACAAATAACACTAAGACTAGCTGACTATAAAGATAAAGCATTTACACTTTAACCAGTCTGGTTAACCATTTTAACCAGTCTAAAAAGACCTCAAAATGATAAACAATAAATGCCACACCATAGCATTATGGGTTTAGTAAAGATTGTTTTAGTCACCTGAAAATCTCTTCTTTGATAAAGATGTTTGACACTAATGTGACTCTAAAAAAGTTACTTAAAATACCTAAAGAGGCTGGTTCAAAGGTAGGGAGTTATCTCACTTGATTGTTCACAGTTACAGATTGAATTCCTTGTTCTACTTTCCCTCCTTCTCACTACTGCACATGACTAGTCAAAAAAATAATAATAATAAAGATTTTTTACTCATAATATAGAAAAAGACATGCAAAGAACAAAGAAAATCATTTACTGAGCAAAGACTTTATGGACACCCAATTGTTCCCCAAAGAACAATAACACTGAAACTTAGGAAACATGATAGGAACATTCACTCATTTTTAGCAGCAATACACTGCCAAAACAGAGTTAACAAATAACACCAGAACACACTCTTAATTCACTCATAGGCAACCATTAGATTTGCCAAAAGTTCCAAGTAACTTTGGCATAAAAATATCATTGTCCTATGTCACACCCAACCAGAAGTGGGCATGAATAGCAAGCCATAAATGACTTAAAAGGTTTAGCACCCTGAAATGTAATACAGGCAGTTTTATAAGCGACAGGATGATAATATGCAGGCATGATTAGTGAAGAACCAAAACTAAAAGCAGAATTCACTGTGCCATGATAATGACTTACAAAGTAGAGTTTTTAGGAAAGAGTTGGATTTTCCTTTAGGAATCTATATTGCAAGGAAAAAGGGAGGGAGAACAATCATATGAAAGCAACATTACAAGAAAAACTAAGAGAGCAGGACAAAGGAAAACATCAATGATATAGTGGAGTCAGATTTGGCTTTTTTTTACTTTGTATAAACTTTGCTCTAAGAAACAATCTGTCCAATCCTTCCTTTACTCTTAAGAGGATGTAATATCCTCTTGAAAGGTATACAGAGGAGGAAAAAACTGTTTCCTTGGATATCTGTTTGTCTGCCCATTGTTTCTAGATATTGAAAGGACAGGAATGAGCAGAGAGAACACATATTTCTTCTCTATGGACTTGCATGTGAAACAATCCTTTTATCATAGGTTAGAGAGAAAGGATTTAAATAACTTCATGAGAAAAAGCAGTTATCCCTTTAAAAAATTATGTTCCCACACTCTTGGACAGACATTAACATATTCTGCAGTTGAAAGACATAAAAAAGTAAAAGCTTGTGAACCAAATATATTTCTTCCTTTAGAAATCTGCAATTCAAATGTTTTTATGACACTCTTCATAGCCAGTAAAATTGAAAAAAATTATCCAAATTTAATCCTTAAACTAAATGCAAGTAACATTCTGGAGAACTGTCAGTTCCATGACAGTAATTCTCCTGTATTTAGCATTGAATCTAAGTCACAAAACCAATTTAATAAAACATGTAACATGGCCGGGCGTGGTTGCTCATGCCCGTAATCCTAGCACTCTGAGAGGCTGAGGCAAGGCGGGAGGATCATTTGAGCTCAGGAGTTCAAGACCAGCCTAAGCAAGAGTGAGATCCCCATCTCTACTAAAAAAAAAATAGAAAGAAATTAGCTGGACAACTAAAAATATATTTAAAAAATTAGCCGGGCATGGTGGTGCATGCTTGTAGTCCCAGCAACTTCGGAGGCTGAGGCAATAGGATTACTTGAGCCCAGGAGTTTGATGTTGCTGTGAGCTAGGCTGATGCTACAGCACTCTGGCCCAGGCAACAGAGTGAGAGTCTTGCGGGGGCGGGAGATGTAACATTACACTTTTGGCAAAACAGGTGAACAATTTCCTAGAACCCGTAACAATTTGTATATTAAGGTAGTTTGTTAGTTTCACTAGAATGTCAATAGACTACCTGAATTTTGCATTGTTAAACTATTGTTTTGCAATTGCAAGTATTATTTTATAACTAAGAATATTTCATTTAATAAATACTTAAATGAAAATTAGTCTGCTTTAACCAAATTTAATTAACTGTTTGATTTACAGACTGAATAAAGAATTAAAGCAACTGGATTTCTCCCAATTACAAAACCATTTCAGGATTAAAAAGAAATCTATGCTAAAATGTTTTTTAAAAAAAAAGAAAAAAAATATCTTTGTATGAAGAATCTATAAAAATGTAAATAGTTTGAAAAACATGTTATCCTATTTTAAGATGATCCATTTCATAAAACCACACTTAATAACCAAAAATAAGAGTATCATCTTTAGTTCTGCATACGGAATGACAAATAGTCTACTTCAATTACTCTTGATAATCAGTGCTTAATGAGCTAGAGAGCACCACTATAAAGTATAAACTCTGGGTTTTTTCTGAGACAGAGTCTCACTTTGTTGCCCAGGCTAGAGTGAGTGCCCTGGCATCAGCCTAGCTCACAGCAACCTCAAACTCCTGGGCTCAAGCAATCCTTCTGCCTCAGCCTCCCAAGTAGCTGGGACTACAGGCATGTGCCACCATGCCCGGCTAATTTTTTCTATATATATTAGTTGGCCAATTAATTTCTTTCTATTTATAGTAGAGACGGGGTCTTGCTCTTGCTCAGGTTGGTTTCGAACTCCTGAACTCAAACAATCCGCCCACCTCGGCCTCCCAGAGAGCTAGGATTACAGGCATGAGCCACCGCGCCTGGCCTAAACTTTGTTTTTAAATACTGTAATCTGACAACTTACTTATTGTAAGAGCTAGCATCAAATGTCTAGAGTGGGGAAAAAGAGCATTAAAGCCAGATGCGCCCCACTCCCACTGTTTTTAGAAGAGATGGGGGCCTCATTATTATCACCCAGGATGATCTTCTCAAGTCATTCCTTTAGAGATGAATTAGTTTTTAGTATGAAGGGCTGGTAGTGGTTGCCTGAAGTGCTGTGTTGAAAAGTACTCTGTGGCTCTATCTGGCTTTGCTGAAAAAGAGTGTGAATAGATCACATATCTCATGTCAGCCCCGATCTAATCAAATACCTAAATATCTCATGAGCATAGCGAGCTTTAATAGCTGAAACACCTAATTCTCACTTTTGTATCATAACTCAAAATAAATCACAAATGTGACTCAATCCTTCCAGAGGAAAGAAACTAACATACATGACCTAATACCCACTTTCAGACACCTTTAAAAAGTTTAACATTTCCAAAGACAGTAGACCATATTGCTTTGACCAACAGAGACTACAGCTCCAGTCAAATAATGCAACATATGCTTCAGTCTGGGTAACAGTCTTAAAGGAACTGCAGCTTAAAAGTGACAACAAATTTTACTTCCTATCTCCCTGTACCACCACCAACTGTGAAACTGTAACAGTCATATCACACTAATTTGTCCTCTTCCCCACCCTCCTTGAATGAGCTACCCTGGATAAAAGTAATTCTTTGAGAGTCAAATGTCCCTGGATAAAAGTAATTCTTTGAGAGTCAAATGTCCTTTAAAATGAACAGATGTTACAATGGAATACTACTCAATAAAGAAAAAAAAAATAATAATAAAATAAAATAAAATGAACAGATGTGACAAATACAGGCTTCCACATTTAAAATAAAAATTAACACACACCCAAAATCGCAATTAAGTTCTGCAAAATACTCTAGGTAAAGTGTTTCCAACTAAAAACCTCTTAAAATTAAGAGACTGCACCAGACCTCTTAAATAAGAACTCAAAGGCAGAACACTCGATTTCCCTACACAATCTAAGAGAGAAATTAGTTCCTTTTCAGATAAAAGATTTCCACTCAGAGAAGACAGTCCATAAATAACTGATACCATCTGATTTTAAATACAATTATAATCGCAGCCCTTGAAAACTGAATGTGAAGAAGATAAACTGCTTGCTCTCTACTTTTCTTGTCCCCAACCTTCAGAATATTGTGAAGAGGTAAACTAAGTTTTAAAAACATTATGAATTAAAGGTAAAGTTAACATAAAATCCTCTTTCTGAAATAGGTCTTTTATCATCTTACAGACCAAAATGAAGCACTATACTTTGATAACATTTCCTGTACTGGCAGTAGTTACAATTTGATAGTTCATAGGATAGGTTGTGAGTCTAAATCATACCTGGATGTAAAGAAACACCAAAGAATTTCTAAAAAGAGTAGAAAGACATGTTTAACGTCAGAGTTTGCTTACCATCACCCTGCATGTCTGAAGTCCATAGTGTCAGATTATCACGTAACAACTGCATGATAAGTGTAGAGTCCTTATAGCTTTCTTCACTCAGCGTATCCAGTTCTGCAATTGCATCATCAAAAGCTGCTTTTGCCAACCTAAAAATATTTAAAGAAATGTATTACTAAAAATTAACACATACAATTACAAATAAGTTAGACATCAATCTTTTCTTCAGTTACTCCAGTGTGTAATGGTGCCAACAATATAAAGAAAAAGCAAGTGTAACTGGTAAGTAAAAATAACTGGAGTACTACTTTATACTATGCTTGCTACAAGCCTATTTCTGAAAGGTTAGAATATGTAGACCAAATTCCATACTAAACCACTACCAAAATATATGCATAATAAAGGTATTTTCAAATTTTAGTCAATAGTTCACTTGCTGCTGCCCAGGCTAGACATAAACCGTGTTCAAGCAATCCTCCCACGTTTGCCTCCTCAGTAGCTGGGACTAATGGTATAAACCACTGAGCCCAACTACTGAATAGTGTTTAACTCAACAAAATTTAATGTTTAATGTTAATAGAGGTAGAGGAGAAAAGAAACGGTAATATATAACCCATAGAAATATAATCATATAAGCCATTTACTGCAATTTTTAAAAATTCGAATCTACTGAGTACTGTATACTGTGTACAACAAATGATGCTGTACATTGGTGTAAAAACGTAAGAAATAATCTGACTCCACAATGAACCACTAAACTTAAAAAGCTGTCCCACAGAAAGTACTTCAGGGACCCAAGAGAAGGAGCAATTAAAAGAGAAGTCAAATGTGAAAGGACTTTTTAACAGAAAGGAAAAGAGCACAATGAACACACTTCAGGTTTTAAGCAAAGGTATGAAACAAAGGCACAGAGGTGACTTAAAGGTGGAGCTGTCTGTGGGACAGGTAGAGAAGCAAACTACAATGAAAGATGCAACCACTACCATTAGCTAAATAGCCATAGCTTCTTCAGTTAACATCTCAGTTTGGACAAACTCAACTGGCCATTTAGAGTGCTTTTAGATGAACTAATACTGGTTTGCATTAAAATGAATCCACCTTACATCAATCATCAATCAGAAAAGGTGTGTATCACGCCTATAATCCTAGTATTTTGGGAGGCCACAGCAGTAGGATCAATTGAGGGCAGGAATTCAAGACCAGACTGAGCAAGAGCAAGACTCCATTCTCTACAAAAAATACAAAAATTAGATGTGCATGGTCGTGGGTGCCTATAGTCTCAGCTACTTGGAAGCCTGAGGGAGAAGGAACACTTGAGCTCAGGAGTTTGAGGTTGTAGTGAATTATGATGATACACTACACTCTAGTCAAAGCAACAGAGTGGGACCCTGTCTCAAAGAAAATCCAAAACAAGAAAAGTTCTCCTTTTTATCAAGTATCTGATTCCCACATACTAAAGAATACCTTAGTTGCAACTAGTTAATCATCCTTCCAGAGTCTTTAATATGCTTTAATTAAAAACAAACATAGGCCAGGTGCAGTAGCTCATGCCTGTAATCCTAGCACTCTGGGAGGCCGAGGTGGGCAAATTGCTTGAGATCAGGAGTTCAAAACCAGCCTGACCAAGAGCGAGACCCTATCTCTACTATAAATAGAAAGAAATTAATTAGCCAACTAATAATATATACAGAAAAAATTAGCTGGGCATGGTGGCACATGCCTATAGTCCCAGCCACTTGGGATGCTGAGGCAGTAGGATTGCTTGAGCCCAGGAGTTTGAGGTTGCTGTGAGCTAGGCTGACGCCACAGCACTCACTCTAGCCTGGGCAACAAAGTGAGATTCTGTCTCAAAAAAAACAAAACAAAACAAAACAAACAAACAAAAAAAAACCATATTTTCCTGGGTGGGTGTGGTGGCTCATGCCTGTAATCCTTACCCTCTAGGAGGCTGAGGTGGGACAACTGCTTGAGTTTAGAAGTTTGAGACCAGCCTGAGCAAGAGCAATACCTCATCTTTACTAAAAATAGAAAAATTAGCTGGGCATCCTGGTACACACCTGTAGTCCCAGCTACTTAGGAGGCTGAGGCAGAAGGATAGCTTGAGCCCAGGAGTGTGAGGCTGCAGTGAGCTGTGATTGCACCACTGTAGGCCACCTAGGCAATGGAGACTCCCATCTCAAAAAGAAAAATAAATGTGGGCAAAAGGACTTAAATATTCCTCTCCACTGAAGACATACAAACGGCCAACAGGCCGGCGCGGTAGCTCACACCTGTAATCCTAGCACTCTCGGAGGCCGAAGCAGGAAGATCACTTGAGGTCAGGAGTTCGAAACCAGCCTGAGCGAGAGCAAGATCCCGTCTCTACTAAAAATAGAAAAAAATTAATCGCCCAACTAAAAATATACAGAAAAAAATTAGTCAGGCATGGTGGTGCATGCCTGTAGTCCCAGCTACTCGGGAGAATGAGGCAGGAGGATTGCTTGAGCCCAAGAGTTTTGAGATTGCTGTGAGCTAGGCTGACGCCATGGCATTCTAGCCCAGGCAACAGAGTGAGACACTGTCTCAAAAACAAACAAATGAAAAGATGTTCGACATCATTAGTCATTCATTAGGAAAATGCAAACCAAAACCACAATGAGATGTTACTTCACATCCATAAAGATGGCTATGATCAAAAAAATGAGTAACAGGTACTGGCAAGGACTTGGAGAAAATAAAATCCTCATGCATTGCTACTGCGAACAGTACAACCTCTGTAGGAAACTGTTTGGCTTCTTTCTTGAAATAGTTAAACACAGAATTACCACGTCTAATCAATTCCACTCCTAGAGGGAACTGAAAACAAGGATTCAAACAAATACTTAGTACTCCAATGTCCACAGGAGCATTACTGATAATAGGCAAAAGGTGGAAAGGAAACAAACCCAACTGTTTATCAAAAGATGAATAAAGTAAAAAATGTGGTATATACATAAAATAGATTATTTATTTATTTTTGACAGTGTCTCGCTCTGTTGCCCAGGCTAGAGTGCTGTGGTGTCACCCTGGCTCACAGCAACCTCAAACTCCTATCCTAGGCTCAAGCAGTCCTCCTGCCTCAGCCTCCTGAGTTGCTAGGGCTACAGGCATATGCCACCATGCCCAGCTAATTTGATTTATATATATACATGTATATAGATGTGTGTATATATATATATTTATTTATATTTTAATTGTCCAGCTAATTTCTTTCTTTTTCTTGAGACAGAGTCTTGCTTTGTTGCCCAGGCTAGAGTGTGTGCCGTGGCGTCAGCCTAGCTCACAGAAACCTCAAACTCCTGGGCTCAAGCAATCCTGCTGCCTCAGCCACCCGAACAGCTAGGACTACAGGCATGCGTCACCATGCCTGGCTAATATATATATATGTTGGCCAATTAATTTATTTCTATTTTTATAGTAGAGATGGGGTCTCGCTCTTGCTCAGGCTGGTCTTGAACTCCTGACTTCGAGAAATCCTCCCGCCTTGGAATCCCAGAGTGCTAGGATTACAGGCGTGAGCTACCATGCCCGGACTGCCCAGCTAATTTCTTTCTATTTATAGTAGAGACAGGGTTTCACTCTTCCTCAGGCTGGTTTCAAACTCCTGACCTTGAGCTATCTGCCCGTCTCAGCCTCCTAGAGTGCTAGGATTACAGGCGTGAGCCACCACCCTTGGCCCATAAAATGATTATTCAGTCATAAAAAAGACCGAACTTCTAATACATAGTTTAACACAGATTAACCTGTTCATTAGTATAATGAAAACATTATACTAACTGAAATAACCAAGATACAAAAGGACAAATATATGATTCCATTTGTATGAGGTACCTAGGCAAATTCATAGAGGTAGAAAGTAAAATATAGGTTTACCACAGGGTGGGGAGAATTCAAAATAGGGAGTTTTTGCTTTATGACTAGTTTTGTTTTGTTTTAGTTTTTTGAGACAGTGTTTTACTTCATTGCCTGGGCTAGAGTGCTATGGCATCAGCCCAGCTCACAGCAACCTCAAACTCCTTGGCTCAAGCAAGCCTTCTGCCTCAGCCCCCTGGGACTACAGGAGTAGGACTACAGGCATGCACCACCATGCCTGGCTAACTTTTTCTATATATATTTTTAGTTGGCCAATTAATTTCTTTCTATTTTTAGTGGAGACGGGATATTGCTCTTGCTCAGGCTGGTTTCAAACTCCTGACCTTGAGCAATCCTCCCACCTCGGCCTCCCAGAGTGCCAGGATTACAGGCAATGGCTACAGTTTTGGGTGAGGTAATGAAGTAGTTTTGAAACAAATTGTGGTGATTATAAAACACTGTGGATGTACTTAATGCTACTGAACTGTACACTTAAGAATTGTTACAAAGATAAATTTCATGTTATGTATATTTAACCACAATTTTTCAAAAGAAAAAGTTATGTACATAAACATATTCCTTAAATTTATCAAAAACTGAGAGCAAGCTGAGTATAAATGGGAGGGTAGTTTCATATATATCAATAAGGACTGAAAATTGCTTATACAGTAAAGTAGAAAATACATTCCCTAGGAGCATAACTACTAAAAATATGCCCACAAAGACTAAAAGCTAATATACAAAAATTAAGATAATTCTATTATAATTACTCTCATTTCCTTCCTCTACTCATTATAAAAGTTAGATGCTTTTCAATCTACCAATGACAAAAATTTCCCCCATCAACATAATTATCTTAACTACTATGCTGGTGGTTGAGAAAGATCTGCCTTAATACTATCCAAAGCAGTTTCAGTACAAGCCAAAAGAATTATTGAATGACAAAGCCTACAAAAACAGCCCCAAAAAACAAGACAGAAAAGCAAGTAACAATCCTCCTTTGTAACCTTTTCCCCTTTCACACTAAGAGCTTTTGTTCTCCTCTATGACTTACCTGCAGGCACGGTCAGGGGAATTAAGAATTTCATAGTAGAATACGGAAAAATTGAGAGCAAGACCTAAGCGAATGGGATGCGTTGGTGGAAGTTCTGTCATTGCAATATCACTAGCAGCTTTATAAGCCACTAGGCTGTTCTCTGCAGCCTCCTTCCTGTCATTTCCTGTGGCAAATTCTGCCAGATACCTGTGGTAGTCCCCTTTCCTAAAACAAAACAAAACCAAAATTAAAAATTTTTTAAATACCAAGAACAATGATTTTTAAAGGAAAATGTTAAAACTTTTCTATACTATATAAAATAAAATGTGACAAAAATATATGTAACAAGTAACAGATGTACATCAATAACATAAAAAAAATCTCTTTCAGGAATGATTGGCTTGTCTAATTTTTTCCTTAGCGATTTCATACTGCCAAATATAAGCAAAATCCCAGAAATTAACTAAAGAGGTCTCAAAAATCAACAAAAAATTACAGTCTATCAATATCACTTGATACACTAGAATAAGAAAAGTAAGCAGTTCCACAGTATTAAACAGTTTAATAATCATAAAATAGCCTATATAAAATGTTAGGATGTTTAGACTATACAGTGAAATGTATGGCTGTTGGGGGGGGGGGAACAACAGGACAGAACCACAAAAGCAAAATATAAATACGCAAAACAAAGGCAAAAATACATTTTTGTAACAGTCTGACCATCTTAAATGCAGTAATATTAATTCTTCATGAGCAGTTGATTTGCAAGTGACGACTACGAAGAAATTTGTAAGTTCTGAGAATCACTCCTCCCATGTTTTTATCCTTCCAACATTAACTATCCTTCCAACATTAAATTATTCTTAAATAAAAGCTTAAGACCTACATACAAAAAGCCATGATTCTAAGAAGGCCAACTTTTAATCTTACATTTTCCCTTCTAGTATAGAACCTACATTTTATAATAGAAAACCTTGGACTCGCCAGTGTTAGCTGCTGGAATGAGGTGTTTGTCCAGTACATCCAGAATGTCGCAACAGATTAACTTTAGTTCAGTCTCAACCTGAAAAAATAAAATGAAATAAAATTAAAAATCACAGATTGTTTAAATCTACAAATTCTATACACTGTTACACATTCTACCTACCCCTCACTTTGAGGAAGACAGCCTAATATTGACCAGAACATATATCCCTCCCCAGCCCCCTTCCCCCTCCTCTTGACACAAAAGAAATGTTTCCAGGTTATGAAAAGTATCTTTTTCTTTTTGCTCACTATAGGTTAAGTGCTGTTAAAAAATAAAACTTAACACAGCATTCAACTATAGAATTGCCAATGAATTAAAGTGAGCACTGATTACTTAAGTGTTGGGTATTTGAATTAACTTTTTAAGCAAGTAGCAACTACTGTCTCCATTTACATGAAAAAACAGATACAAAAAACTAATTAACTTAAAAAACAGTGGGAGAGCTAAGATTTGAGTCCAGGCAGGAGCTCAGAATTCAAACAGAAGCAGTTTGCCTCTGGTACTCACATTCCTAACATTCCTATCGGGTCATTAAATAAGAAATGTCTGATTTCCAATCAAAAGTTTACTATATCTCAAATAACCACTACACATCAAAGAATGTGCCTACATTATAGACACAGTTTTACCTCCTTAATGGTAGCTTATGTCAACAGCTAAGAAGCCTGGAGGGCAAGTGGCGATAAAATCACAAAACGCATTTCCACAGCTTGTTGGGGCGTGGCTCACGCCTCTAATCCTAGCACTCTGGGAGGCTGAGGTGCACTCAAGGTCAGGAGTTCAAGACCAGCCTGAACAAGTGTGAGACCCCGTCTCTACTATAAAAATAGAAAGAAATTAATTGGCCAACTTATATAGAGAGAAAAAATTAGCCGGGCATGGTGGCGCATGCCTGTAGTACCATCTACTCAGTAGGCTGAGGCAGCAGGATTGCTTGAGCCCAGGAGTTTGAGGTTACTGTGAGCTAGGCTGATTCCATGGCACTCACTCTAGCCTGGGCAACAAAGCAAGACTCTGTCTCAAAAAAAAAAAAAGAGACTTGAATGTTTTTCCTTGCAAGAAGTGGTCCCACCTGGAAAAGGTGGCAGTCAGTTGGTACAAGGTCTAGTGAATACAGTGGATGACAGAGTGTTTCCAAGTCCACCTGCTGTAGTATGAGCAGCACTGTTTGTGTGACATGTGATCAGGTATTGTCTTGCAAGAGGATTGGCTTGTCATTGTTGACCAATCTTAGCTGCTTATCATTTCTTTCAATTAGTAGACATCCACTATAATCAACGACCAGGTTTCACAAAGTTGTAGTGGATAACACAAACGCTGGACTACCAAACAAACATCATTAGTTCTTTTTGGATGAATATTTGGTTTTGGACTATTTCAGCACTGCATCTTTATCCAACTATTGTGTCAAATGCTTGCAATGGTCAAAAAGAATCCATTTTTCATCACATGTAACAATAAGGAGTAGACATGGTTTGCCTTTATGTGGTGACAGCAAAGAAAGACAAGCTTCAAGATGATGTCTCTTCTCACACTCAAAGTTTAATTCAGGCGGTACCCATCTATCCAGCTTTACCATGCTGATATATTTCAAATGGTTCAATATTGTTGGAATAGTAATGGCAACCCTTGCTGCTAATTCATGCTCAGGTTGAGATGAATTCACTTCCACCGCAGCTTTCAGCTCATCACTATGCACCTTGGTCTCAAGGTTGCCCACATGGCTCATTTTCAAGATTAAAATCACCAGAATGGAACTTAAACCATCAATGTACTTTGTGTGTTCATTAGCCACATCCTTCCCCAAACACTTTGTTGATATTTCAAGCTGCCTGTGCTGCACTGGTTCCACAACAGAACACATATTTGAAAATAACATGAATTTTTGAGTTGTCCATGGTTTTACAAAATTGCTCTAAGTTTTCAAAGATAATCATAAGCCAAACTGTGTTTGAAAGACTAAGGATGTACCTTCACAATAAACGCCAGAAATAACAACTGTCAAACTTAGTCCTTAAGGAAATTGGACAGTTCATACTTAATAACCTAATACCTATGCTCAATACCAATTATTTCAGTGGTAGAGATCCATAACCATTTAAAGGCAACAAAAATCTGTACCAAAGTAAATGTTGCCACCCATTTCTATCAGTTTATGATGCTGAAAGCACATGCCACCTCTAAACACACACTCATCTTGCACTGTCGAACCTTTCTAGGTTCCTCTCATGTCTCTGGAATTTTGTCTTTATCCTAAGCAAAACAAGCTCTAATAAACTACCTGCCTGGTGGCTTTTCAAGTAGAGACTGCTGTAGGAGGTCTCCTAGCTCCTCGAATACTTGATACGACTGCTCTGTTATTCCAAAGCCTTCCCCTCCGCAGAAGTTCATATCTACCTTCTATTTCTCAATTTTTGCCATCAACAGATCTCTAGGCCCTTATTCCACATCCTCTGAGTATATCCAGCCTACCTCTCCAATTAGCTGACATAATGTCAAGGTATTAGCATCCATATGTTCCATTCAACACAGTTCTCTGATCTCTACTCCATGGCTTTCACTCATCAATACCCCTAAACTGTGATGCTCCATACTAGAAGTCTGAAATTTTAATATTTCACTCTTGGTCTACAACTTCTTTTATTAATATTTTTATTCCTTTACTATTATTTCTACTTGGGGACTCATCAGGATATCCAGACTCTTGAACCTTTCATCTCCTCCAATTTATCAGTCACTCTGGTTTCCTGCTTCCCTTTCCTAATTAGCCCAAACCTTACAAACTACCTCATGGACTGCTCTCTTCAGCCCTTTTAACTTTCCCATTTCCTCATTCTTCTGGGACACCAAATCTTGCCTATTGACAATCCATACATACATTCTTTGTCCCAACATATTTGAGGGTAATAGTAACATCAATCCCAACTCATCTTATACCCTTAATCCTAGCACTCTGGGAGGCCGAGGGAGGTGGATAGCTCAAGCCCAGGAGTTCGAAACCAGCCAGAGCAAGAGCAAGACCTCGTCTCTACTAAAAATAGAAAGAAATGAGTTGGCCAACTAATAATATATATAGAAAAATTTAGCCGGGCATGGTGGTGCATGCCTGTAGTCCCAACTACTTGAGAAGCTGAGACAGGATTGCTTGAACCCAGGAGTCTGAGGTTGCTGTGAGCTAAGCTGACACCACTGCACTCTATCCGAGCAACACAGTGAGACTGTTTCAAAAAAAAAAAAAAAACCCAACTCATCACAAGTATGTTACTTAACCACTAAAAACCTGTTTTTCCATCTATACATGGGAATAATACCCCCCTTCCAGAGTCATCTTAAAGATTAAATACATGTAATACCTTGCACAAATATATGTAATAGAAATATATCCCTATTCAGGACAGTGCAAAGACAGAGATGTCAAGTTAGTAACTATGCTTCATCCCCCACCCCGGTCTCTTCCACCAGGATGTTTCTCAACAACAGCACTACTGACATTTGGAGCAGGGCACCTTTGTTGTGGAGATTACTCCACCATGCATAGTGAGTGGGGGTGCTTAGCAGCATCCTGGTCTCTACCCACTAGATGCCAACAGCACCCTCCAAATTGTGACAATCAAAAATGTTTCTAGGCCAGGCGTGGTGGCTCATGCCTGTAATTCTAGCACTCTAGGACGCTGAGGCAAGAGGATCGATTCAGCTCAGTAGTTCCAGACTAGCCTGAGCAAGAACGAGATCTCATCTCTACAAAAAATTGAAAAATTAGCTAGGTGTGGTGGCACATGCCTGGAATCCCAGCTACTCAGGAGGCTGAGCCAAGAAGGACTGCTTGAGACCAGGAGTTTAGAGGTTGCAGTGAGCTATGACAATGACACTGCACTCTAGCCAACGTGACAGGATGTGACTATCTCCAGTAAAAAAAAGTTCCTAGACATTGCCAAAGGTCCTATGAAGTGCAAAATCACCTCTGGTTGAAAAACCCTGCACTAATATATGTAACCCTAAACATTTGTACCCCCATAACATGCTGAAATAAAAAAAAAAAATTGAAAAAAGAAAAGAAAAAAAAGAAAACCCCTGCACTAGAGTTATGGCTATCAAACTTTTTTTTTTTTTTTTTTTTTGAGACAGAGTCTCACTTTGTTGCCCAGGCTAGAGTGAGTGCCGTGGCATCAGCCTAGCTCACAGCAACCTTAAACTCCTGGGCTCAAGCAATCCTGCTGCCTCAGCCTCCTGTGTAGCTGGGACTACAGGCATGTGCCACCATGCCCAGCTAATTTTTTTTCTATATATATTAGTTGGCCAATTAATTTCTTTCTATTTATAGTAGAGACGGGGGTCTCGCTCTTGCTCAGGCTGGTCTTGAACTCCTGACCTCGAGCAATCCATCCGCCTCGGCCTCCCAGAGTGCTAGGATTACAGGCGTGAGACACCACGCCCGGCCTATCAAACATTTTTGAGCACAATCCAGAGTAAGGGAAGTATTTTATATATGTATATACATACACATAATATCTGTAATAGTTTTGTAAAATAATTCTTACCCTTAGCAGTGTCCACTTCTGATATTCTCTATTCTGTTTAAAAAGCAATGACTAGACTGAGCCTACTTAAGGATAGTAACTATTATATCTGCTTCATTTTTGCACCCACAGTACCTAGCAAATTGTGTGGCACAGAAGAGGAATTTGCAAATATTAGTTAAATTGGCCTAATATTAATTTCAAGTAGTCAACAAAGTGTTTTAGTTACCACTATAAAAACAAAAATTAAATTTGTTCTCTACTTGTGCAATGCTGGAAAACTGACCACCACCCTCTGCAGCTTCCAGGGAAAAAAGTTCTTTGCCTCTGTCCTAAAATACCCTGTAGTCTGTAATTTCTAATCCAGGTAAATAAAAGATAAAAATCCATTATGATATGAAATGTACAGTATATATAAACGTGTGCTAAAATTCCACTGGCTAAGGCCAAATTACTGGCAGCTGTAAGCCTGAGACTTAAGACGGCCACTCATAAGAAACAAGTCTCCTTTCACTTAGACAACTTTTTCTTTAAACTATCAAAATAAAAAGGCAAAACTTAGGACATATTCAGGTAACAACCCCCCCCCACTTCTTTCTGTTGTATAAAATCCGAAGATAAAAATCACAACATTGGACATAAAAATTCTTTCAATGAAAAGATAAATGGTACCAAAACATGGCCAGGCACGGTGGCTCATCCCTGTAATCCTAGCACTCTGGGAGACCAAGGCAGGTGGATTGTTCAAGGTCGGGAGTTCAAAACCAGCCTGAGCAAGAATAAGATCCCATCTCTACTAAAAATAGAAAGAAATTAATTGGCCCACTAAAAATATATAGAAAAAATTAGCCAGGCATGGTGGTGCATGCCTGTAGTCTCAGCTACTTGGGAGGCTGAGGCAGGATTACTTGAGCCCTGGAGTTTGAGGTTGCTGTAAGCTAGGCTGACTGACGCCACAGCACTCTAGCCAGGCAACAGAGTGAGATGCTGTCTCAAAAGAAAGAAAAAGAAAAGATAAATGGTACCAAAAACTCTACAAATTAACCCAATATCAACACCTATAGTTTAGAAACACTAACCAATTTTCTTTAAAATTACAGTATATCTGAAGGGTATACATTCTGAAACCCCCAGGATGCTGAAACCACAGATGGTATGGCATTCTCTCTCTCAAAATATCTTACTCTTGAAACTGTGGATAAGGAGGGGCTACTGCACCATAATCTCACCATTTGCCGATATTCCCGAATCATTTTTAGTTTGTCTTCTCCTCCCTTGTTTTCTTCTTTCTGTTCAATGCTGCTGATTATTCTCCAGGAGGCTCTTCTAGCTCCAATCACATTTTTATATGCAACAGATAGGAGGTTTCTTTCTTCAACTGTCAGCTCCACATCCATCCCTGCTACTTTCTTCATTGATTCCACCATTTCTATAAGAGAAAGCAAAATCAGAGACCTTACAAACTTAAAAGTTTTGTTAACATATTCCTTTCTAAAGAGTTCTTTATTCCGGCCAACCTAATAGAAAACAAAAGAATTGTGACAAAAATTACTTCACAATCATCAAAATTAATGTGAGTAAAAACCCAAAAAACATGTAAAAGAAACTAAGAGTCAACACAAGAAAAACTGGAATATAAGTTATTAGGAATCAGAAGACTATGTCATATAATATCTAGTATAATTTAGTATGTTTCCAGCATCTCAGTAAATAAATGAACTAGGAAAAAAATAAAATAAAATAAATGAACTAGGAGTATTTTTTCAGTAAAAATAACTTAGCCGCTGAAAACAAATATTAAAAATTTACAGGCTCTAAAATGTATTACCTCACAAATAAACTACATGTGCCCAAAACCAAACTCATGGGAGGAAAGGGAATTCATTCATACAGCAAAAAATATACTGAGCATATGATGAGTCACAAACAGACTTTCGGATGTTTCTACCCTTACTAGGAACTCATTCGTTGGTAAAACTTCTGATGGTTCCTATTTGTTACCACTAGGTGGCAAGCAAAGAAAGGGGCCCAGATAAACTTGGGTAGGAATATCCCTAAGTATAGGAAAATACACACAACACAACAGTGGGTGGTATGTAAAGAACTAAAGACATCTCAATAAATACCAACTGAATAAATATTTTAACAAATGAGACCCAAGAACCTGCATTTTAACAAGCACCCTTAACATACAGTAACACTCTAAGCATAATCTCTACCTTTCTTTTTTGAGACAGAGTCTCACTGTGTCACCTAGAGTGCCCTGGCCTGCTTCACAGCAATCTAAACTCCTGGGGGGCTCAAGTGATCCTCCTGCTTCAGACTCCCCCAGTAGCTGGGACTAACGGGCATGTGCCACCACACCCAGTTAATTTTTTATATTTTTAGTAGAGGCAGGGTCTCGCTCTTGCTCAGGCTAGTCTTGAACCACTGTTGAACCACTGACCTCAAGCAATACTTCCACCTTGGCCTCCCAAAGTGCTAAGATTACAGGCATGAGCCACTGTCCCAGGCCAGCGTATCTTAGCAGATATCATGCAGATGATGATTTTATTAAACACTACCTATTGGTATGCTAAATTAAGGGGAGTCTTCCTAATGTGTAACCACAGGAAAATATGTTTTGAAAATCATCCTTTCAGGATATCAGAAAATTAATAAAAATATTAAGATGTTGTAAGTCTCTTTGGCAAACAGTCTGGTAGTTTCTTTTTTAGTTAAACATTTACCAGATGATTCAGCAAACCTAGTTCTAAGTATTATCAGAGACTTTTTTATACAAATGTTCATAGCAACATTATCCGTAACAGCCAAAAAGTGGAAATAAATGTGCACCAAGAGGGGGAAAGAACAAGCAAATTGTGTTACACATCTATATAATAGAAAACTCAAATACAAAAGAAAAAAAAATTAACTGATACAAAGAACATGGATGAATCTCAAAAACATCATGTTAAGTAAAAAAGGCCAGACTTAATGAGTGAGATGTGCACCATCTGGGGGATGGTCATGATGGAGACTCAGACTTTTGGGGGGAGGGAGGGAAATGGGCATTTATTGAAACCTTAAAATCTGTACCCCTATAATATGCCAAAAAAAAAAAAAAAAAAAAAGGCCAGACTAAAAAGACTATATGAGCCAGGCGTGGTGATTGATGCCTGTAATTCTAGGACTTTGGGAGGCCTCAATGGGAAGATCACTTCAAATCAAGAGTTCGAAACCAGAGAGAGTAACAAAAATTAGAAAAATTAGCTGGGCATAGTAGCATGTGTCTGTAGTTCCAGCTACTCAGGAGGCTGAGATGGGAGCGTCACTTGAGCCCAGGAGTTTGAGACTACAGTGAGCTATGATGAGCCTGGGTGACAGATCCTGTTCCCCCCACTTCCTCCCCCAAAACACCAGGAACAGTGGCTTATGCCTATAATCCTAGCACCTTGGGAGGCCGAAACAAGAGGATTGCTTGAGGCTAGGAGTTCGAGACTAGCCTCAGCAAGAGCAAGACCACCTGTAATCCTAGCATTTTGGGAGGCTTAAGCAGAGGAATCACTTGAGCCCAGGAGTTGAAGATTCCAGTGAGCTACAACGCCACCATTATACGCCCAGTCGACAGGTACACTGTGTCTGAAAACACACAAAGACTACATGCTTCAATTTTTATCAAATTATAGAAAATGCAAAATTGAAAAAACAGAAAGCAAACAGCAGTTACCAAGATGTAGAGGTAAAATGTGTGTAAAAGAGTTCAATGGAAATTGGGAGGTAGGGGGGTGATGGAGGTAATGCAAACTGCTCCATTGTGGTGGTTTCACAACTGTATGCTTTATTCAAAATTCACTGGACTGTATATGTAAAAGTGGTACGTTTTATTGTATAAATTATATCTCAAGCTGATTTTTAAAAATACAATTCTAAAGCATTTAAAAAAGAAGTTGTAGGGTATGGTAGTAAGAAAATTGATTCATTTTTTGGAATCTGAAAACATTCATTTGACACATGTCCAATTTTGTTCTCTAAACCATGGCTATGAAAAAGGTTAAATTTGCAGGCAGTGAAGTAACCTCACTTTCATATTAGTTTATTCTCAAACCCTAAGAAGTCAAAAATATCTCAGGTGAACCAATAATTCAACTTTATAAACTGGTCCCAACAGTTTATAAAGAGCAATTCATAAATAATCCAGCTACACCAAAAACAGAACCATTAATTCTTTTAATTGTGGGGCTTTGCAACATTTTATGTGGAAAAACTATACATAGGCAGGAGGATTGCTCAAGGTCAGGAGTTCAAAACCAGCCTGAGCAATGAGGCAAGACCCATTCTCTAACCATTACAATGGAATTGACCACAATTAGAACGAAAGAAACTAGCCATGCATCGGTGCTCATTGCTGATCTATTTTTTCCCAGTCATTATCTATGAGAGGCTAGATGCAGGAGCGACATTGCTTGAGTCTGAGTGGCACAGCTCGACGTCTGCCGCGCAAGAGTGAGCTAGCCGATAGCGCCATGTGTTAAGCACCTTCACGCTTCGCAAGCGCTCTGTGGTCAACGACAACACGAGTCAATCGAAAACTCTGTCTCTACACAGGCAACAAACAACTGATATAAAATAAAAAAACCAGACAGAGACAAGAGCCGAGACAGAGACAGAGAATGAGAGAGAAAGGAGACGACGATGAGAGAAAGATGAATTGAACCAGAGAGAGCGCAGCAAAAACAGCAAAAATCTAATAGAGCTGTATGGTTCCTGCCTGGTTTTAAATGCTGCATCGATGGTGGGCGCGGAGCCCACATCCGGGTAAGGGGTCGGCGTAAAGACGCGCTGCGCGCACGCTTTCAGCGCCCATTAACAGTCACTTCATCATCTTCACCTTATCAATATCCCTCTATGATTACTCCCACTAAATTACCCAAAGCCAACCTGCGCACCAATTTTCATAATTCCTGTTTCTCTAGCATGAAAAATATGCTGCTGTTTAGGTACCACCTTTCAAATACAAGCAAATATTTTGCCCCCCAAAAAAGGTTTCGGTTCCAGACCACCTGCATAAGCAAAGCCATAGAGAGTTTTTATTTCCCAGTGCAGAGCGAGAGAGAGCCTATGTGCATCATTCATACCATCTTGAAAGTGTTAGCCACTTAGGTCAGTTGTGCAAGTCAAGTTATACACCTTCCATGGGCTATGGTTCTCCCCAAAAAAAGTACATCGAGTTGTTAATATTTTAAAACAGTCAGATAAGAAAAATCGGTTGTGAGCAAAATTATGAGTTAATCAACTGGATTCTCAGAATCAATGCGCGTGCCATCTCAATGGACGAAGGCTGCTGAACAACAAGAAGGCGGAGACACATGCGCTGAGGTAGCTCATAAGAAAGCGCACACCAAATTGCATTGAAAAAACAAAAACAGACTGAACTCTCTGTGACACTGGAAAATCTTCCTCTACATGAGAAATATCGTCCTTCCTGTAGCATGAATTTGTGGGTAAGATTGACTCTCACAATTGACTCATACTGTCATTTCTCTCAAAATCGAGAGTCATTCTCAAACCTTGTCACTGCCCGGCGAAGTGATCCCAGCAAGTTTATTTACATAATCTAAAATCTTTTGTGCATTTCACACTGTTACATACTAGACTCCATCTATTGCGCAGGAGACAGCGGCGGGCGTGGTGGCTACGCCTGTAATCCTACACTCTGGAGGCCCGAGGCGGATGATTGCTCGAGGCGTCAGGAGTAAGACCAGCCTGACGCAAAGAGCGAGACCCGTTTACATAATATTGCTGAAAAATGAGAGTGCACTAATATGATAGTAACCACCGCGTTTGTCGTATCCAATATATCAGCAACATGCCGTGGATTTGCCACACATGCCAATAGTATCACCACAGCTACTCGGGAGCGAAGAGAGTAGCGTAGGTGCGACTGCGAGCGCTCAAGGAGTGGATTAGAGATGTTCTGAGTCCTACAACGCTTTATCTCTACCCCCACTACTGCGCTGCCCACCTAGCCTGGCACAAACATACTATGACTACGTCCAACAAACTACAAAACCACAAAATATCGTATAACCATCACTATGCCACTCAACATGTCCTTATATGAAGCAACTCCTCATCTGTCCAAGTTTCATCATGAGATTGCAACAATTCAGTCACATCTTCAGCTTCCACTTCTAATTCTAGTTCTCTTGCTATTTGTACCACATCTATACTTACTGCCTCCAGTGATGTCTTGAACCCCTCAAAGCCATCATGAGGGTTAGAATTAACTTCTTCCCAACTCTTGTTAATGTTATTCTGATGACCTCCTCCTCATGAATGTTCTTAATAGCATCTAGCAATAGGTTTTCAACTGATTTTTACCAGATCCATAAGAGGAACAGTTATCTATCGTAGCTATAAACGTATTTCTTAAATGGTAAGACTTAA